TCTCCTCAACTTTTGATCATCCAGGCATATAACTTATTTTTGCTAAATATATTTAGTCCGATTCTTAATAGTGTTTCTGTCAAAATAAGATAAAGGCCAGAACCGAGGGGAAACCACTAAGGTCAAAACGTGCCTGTATTTCGAAAATCACATAAAATATTTTTGTGATTTCACTGAAAATCCACCTTAATACAAGGTCCTTTTTTTCCGGCATTTACGGTTTTGAGCAATGAATTGATTTTGACGATGATTTCGATAATGATTTTCGATGATGATTTTGGAATTTTCGAGAAAATTTGTAGTAATTTAGAGTGAATACGTACCAGTATTTCAGGAGTGGTTTACCGCTACTTATTTTTGTTGAATGGGTTTGTTGAAATACTGCCCAAACCATTTGTTTTGTTAAGACTAGAGCCGTCGCTGGCCTTTTTCGATTGTTTCGAAACCCACGAGATGATTACGTCACCCTTTCTTTTCGCGATACAGCTAACCTTCAACAACCACTAGATAATAACACGTGATGTCCGAATTTGCGCGATGAACGAGTGATTGGTCAAGATGTAACGAGTGATAGGTCAAAATTCGTAAAAAAAGGTATTAGTAGTAAACAGGTGAATTCAAATTTTAAGGATTAAACAAAGTTTTGAAATTACAAAAAGTGTGTTTTATTTATTAGAGATCCCCACTAACTAATTTTAGATAGATGGCCTAAAAGGTCATCATCCAAAAATATTTCGGCCCTTGTAACATGCAAAAATACGAATGTGGCCCGAAGGAAAAAATATTGAGTATTGCTGCTCTAAGATGTAGCAAATTTTATTGATCAGATGTATTTATTTATTTTTGTACTGTTAATTTTCGTAATACATTTGAAAATCACAGCAATTTTGAATAGAAAGAGACCTTTAAAATGAGGTATCACAAGCCGCTACTTCCTATTTACTAATTTGGGAATTGCAACTGTTACTCGAAGGGGGTTAAAGGTATGGGTGAAATTTTTACAATGCAGGATAACATTTCATAATCTAAATTTGACGTGTTTCAGATTTTTTTTTATAAATACGCAACAATAATTGTGCTACTGAATTTATTCCATTTGGGTATTACATACTGCATATCAACGATGATTTTTAGCATTTCATATCTGTAAGTCGGCAATATAACTCAACAAATGTACAAAAAATTATTACTGTTAGACAAGGTGCATGAAATTGAAAAATTAGCATAATTTATAGCAGTAGCATTTTTTTAAAACCTGTACCATAAAATTAATGCTATTAACCAAATGTAGATATTTTTAACTTCTATACAAGTCGATTTTTTTTTTAGTTGCCTTCAATAATTTGAAAAGTACTATAATCGACTTTTCAGTGGTTTAGCAAAAACAGCTTTAGATACCATGTGAATTTGCATGGTTCGTTGTAAGATTTGATGGATGCCGTATTAGCAGTAATTTAATGTCTGTTAACATGGCATCCAAATTACAAATCGCAGTGCGTTACCATTTTGATGTTTTCCTCGCCTGTAAATCAAATCAATCATCTTTAAATCGCCCCGAAGCACCACATTAAATAATAATAGCCGTCCTTTCCCAGTTGATTTCTGGAGTTAAAATTCACTCATAAGGTGGTGAATTATAGGAAGAGTATTATTATCGAAAATGCTTTTAATTCGAAAAGTTTATATTTATTGAGATTCGATTATATAACAGATAAAAATGAGGGACTACACCTTTTGAAAAATTGAATTTCTTAAAAAAAAAAAACATTATCTGATTTGGAAAATTCGTCTAGCCCATTTATCTTACTCTAAACATTAAAAATTTTTCAGCTGACAATAAAAAAATAAAATTATATTACTATTAAAGACAAAAAGTATGAGTGTTCCTCACGTTTCAATTTATAATTTATCACAGATAAACTTGTAAAATTCAATTATTTCATAAAACCTACCTATTGTTTGACATAAATAAGCAAGAAGTAAAAACGAAATTTTATAAATTTCAAAAATTAAAAATGCCGTATTTCCACAGTCTTAGACGAAAGATAATATATAACTTAAAATCGAGGAAAATGTTTGATAGCTTCTGCTTAATTTTTTTTTTTAATAAATTATGAATCTTTTTAAGATATGCGCACTTTCTGATATGTATATGTGAAGAATAATTGTAAAAATTAAAAATAAATAAGATTTTTTTTGTTATTAATAAATATAGAGGGTACATAATATATTAAGTACGTTTCGATATTACAAGAGGCGATTACCTTAGTCAATTCTAAAAATTTCATAAAGAATTATTTTTAGCATTGGGTTGACTGAATTATACAGGGTGATATTTCTTTTATAACGAGTTTCACTCTTGTATATCTAATTTTGGTTCTTTGGTTCTTCCATCACAATATCCAGAATTAATAAAATTTAAAAGTACTGATAACTTTTTAAAATTATAAATATTTAAAATAAAACGTTCTAGTTTTTTATTTTAGTCAAAAAACTTGTAAAACGACTATAAAATAACAACAAAAACCTCGACTGTAGAAATACAACAGTAGAATTATTATTAAAATCACAATAATTAAAACAAAATGTGAAGTTAAATATTTACAGAATCATTAGGATCTCGGATAAAATGTTTAAATAATATGGTATTTATCACTAATTTAAATTTAAACGGCATATATTTATTTATTTATTGTCTAACTGTTTTTTACTATTTTAAAAGTAGGTACGTTGAATGTAAAAATTTGAATAAATTGTGCAGTTATTTAAAATTATTTTACAGAATACCGATCACAAAAACTTGAAACGTCAATTAGTGAATTTGACGTTTCGTGACTCAATTAGCATTCTTAGTGGGACAATAAATAAATGATATGGGTTTAAATTCTAAAATACATGTTATAAGCTATTCTGGTGTAATAATTTAGAATCAGAGACAGGAACCGCATGCCGCTTCATATTGAGTAATTACATGTTAATTCGTTTCTTCTTTAGTACTGTTTTAATAAAAACTTTACAGGTGTCAAATAAATAACATGTAATTCCTCTAATGGCTTGACAAGGACTGCACGTAGCTTCATATCAAGTAACTGCATATTATACATGTATCCTGTGCATTAAATGTTCCATTTGATTAACTTTTCAATATATCAATAGAATTGAAATTTTTATATAAAAAAAATTTATACTTTTCTTTAGTAACATATGCTAGTAAACTTTTTTAATAAAGACATAATATATCCGAGATCCTTACATTCTTATAATTTTATCTTGAACAATCTGATGCAAGATCCCGGACTTAAATCGACCTGCCTCAGACTTTTTCTTGACTAAATTTATACTTTATACAATATTATTTATAAACACAACGTGCTAGAATTGGCGCTCCATATTCGATTCAAGCTATTTTTAATTAATATATTTATTTTAATACCAATTAAATTTATGCAAAATAGTTATTTATGCAACAAGCGTGTAAAGTTGTTCTTTTTTGACGAATGTGAATGTTCAGTCAAAAAAGGGACTTTACACACGAGTTTCATACAATATTTTTTTACTACTGTACACATTATCCACTAATATTAGAAATATGTTACTTTTTTTCAGTAGTGCGTAAAGTACTTTTGTTGCTATGTACAGTTTTTGTCAAATTTTACTTTTTTTCACTAGTACGTAAAGATTTTTACTTTACGCACTAGAGAAAAAAAGTACAACTTTCAACTTTACTTGCTCCGTGGAGTGCGTAAAGTATGTACTTTACGCATGGTAGTAGAAAAAGTTATTCTTCAAAAAAGCCCTGCATGGTCTAAAACTCAAAATACAACCATCAGCTAATTTTGGTTTTTTTATTTTTGAAAAGAAGGTTATTTTTGACTAAAATGATGGTAATTTTTGAAAAGGGGGTAATTTCAATAAAGGATGGTAATTTTGGAACAATTTTTGACAAAAAATTGCACTTTTGGACGAAATGGATAATTTTGAACACATTTTTACAGAAAGAGGCATTTTTATTTTTGAAAAGAGGTTATTTTTGACATTTATGGACATAAAAAGGGTAATTTTTTGGACGTGTATTCAGATATTGTTGTTGACGCATATCGCAATCTATTATACAGCGTGTACCAAAAAAATTTATACACAAAAAAAAGCTAGATTTTTCAAAAAAAAAGTTATTGTTGATACAAAGTTCTGCATCATTTGAGAATTTATAATCAAACATTAAATTTTGTAAAATATAGTTTGCCAAGGGGTTATTTTGGACGAAAAGGGGGACATTTTTTAAAAAGTATTTTTTAAAGGTGTAATTTTTAAAAAAGGGTAATTTTTGGAACGGGTAATTTTTGGAAGTTTTTTTTGGTAAAAGTGATACTTTTGGACAAAAGGGATAATTAAAAAAAATTAGAAAGTGGTATTTTTGTATTAAAAAGGGGCTATTTTGGACAAAAAGGGGTAATTTTGGAAGAAGAAAAAAAAAAGGTAATTTTATTTTTTGACATAAAAAGGGTAATTTTTTGGAAGTGTATTCAGATATTGTTGTTAACGCATGTCGCAATCTATTATACAGTGTTTTGGAACAGTTTTTTGATAAAAGTGATACTCTTGGATAAAACGGGTAATTTAAAAAAATTACAAAGCGGTATTTGTTTTAAAAAAGGGGTTATTCTGGACAAAAAGGGGTAATAAAAAAAAAGATAATTTTGTTTATTTTTTGACATGAAAAAGGGTAATTTTTTTGGAAGTGTATTCAGATATTGTTTTTAACGTAAATCGTGTCCCAAAAAAATTATACACATGAAAAAAAGGTTTGATTTTTCAAAAAAAAGTTACTTTTATACAAAGTTCTTGGAAATTCATAATTAAACATAAAATTTTGTAAAATATAGTTTGCCAAGGGGTGTTATTTTGGACGAAAAGGGGGAAATTTTTTAAAAGGTAATTTTTTGGACAAAAAGGGGTAATTAAAAAAAAGATAATTGTTTATTTTTTGACATGAAAAGGGTAATTTTTTGGAAGTGTATTCAGATATTGTTGTTAACGCATGTCGCAATCTACGTGTGTCCCAAAAAATTATATACATGAAAAAAGTTGTTTTTGATAGTAAGGTCAAAACGTACCTGTATTTCGGTGATTTCATTGAAAATCTACCTTAATTTTAAACGATGATCTTTTTTCTCGACAGTTACGATTTTGAGCGACAAATTGATTTCGGCGATGATTTCGACCATAATATTCTATGATTTTGAGTGAGAAGGTACCAGTATTTCGGGAGTGATTTACCGCTACTTATTTTTGTTGAATGTGTTTGTTGAAATACCGCAACATAGTGCCCAAGCCATTTGTTTTGTTATGACTAGAGCCATCTCTGGCCTTTCTCGATTGTTCCGAAATCCACGGGATGATTACGTCACCCTTTCTTTCTACGATACAGCTAACCTTCAACAACCATTAGATAATAACACGTGATATCAGAATCTCCGTGGTGAACGAGAATTGATCAAGATGTAACGGGTGATTGGTCAAGCTGTAACGAGCGAATCTTTATGTGAACATTTGTAAATAAAAGTATTAGTGGTAACAGGTGAATTTGAATTTTAACCATACTTTCTAATAGACAACTTATATCGAAAAATTCGGCTACCCTAAATACATTTCACCAGGAAAATAGATTTAATTTATCAATGGGCGAATGTGGCATTTGGATTTATATGCCAAACTCGCACAGTATTTATTCAGAGGGATGAAAGGATCAAACACAGTTTTGAAAATACAAAAAACTGTGTTTTATTTATTATAGGTCCACACTAACTAATTTTAGATAGATGGCCTAAAAAAAGGTTATCATATTTTATAAATGTGGCCTGAAGGAAAAAAAAAATGTTGAGCATGGCTGATTTAGACTGTAATGATTAAAAAAGTGCATCATGCAGACACGACAAAAACTAAGGAAACCATGATTGAAGTTTGATCGGGGGCGGCCATATGACTGGTTACAAAACTATAAACAATAAATGGAATACCTTTTTGGTGGAGCCACCGTGATTGGAAAGGGCATACCTAAAAGGAAAATTATAACAATTAATTAGTCGGGTATTTTACGCTCTCTGATAATAAGTTTTCTTCAGCTTGAGGCTTTTTTTGGTCCGCGGTACATTTTCCTTTTTCTCTGTTTATAGAAAAATAATGGTTAGTCAGTTGTATAATGTATCTATTAATTACGCAAGTTCCTTTTGAATTTCGGTCTTTTGGGATTACCGGGGACCCCCAGAGACAAATCCTTGGATCCCTTAGAATTGCTGTATGATTAATATAGGATATTTTGGGTTATATCCTTTCATTTTATTTAATAATAACTCCCAAGCTTGGAGGCTGTGGGTGTCTTAACTATAACTACTATGGTCTATTTGCACCCCTTGTCTTTAAGAAATAAGCCAAGCTTAAACTGACATTTTTCCATTAACAATGTCACTTTAAGCTTCGCTTAGTTCTTATCGACAAGGAGTACAAATGGCCCTATATGGTTTAATAGCTGTCTACAATGGATGGCCATTTTTTTAATGTATAACTATAGAGTTTTATTTTTTACGTGTTTTAGGGCCATTCGCACCGCTAGTTGTAAAGAAATAAGCGAAGCTTAAAATGACATTGTCAATGGAGAAATGTCATTTTAAGCTTGGCTTATTTCTTAACTAGTGGTGCAAATGGACCTAAGCCTCATTTTTTATTAAACGTTATTAGTCAGCTAGCAAGATTGATTGAATTCTTTTTTTTTATAAACAAGTGTTTTATTATTTTAAATAGGTTTCTTTTATTATCGTTTTTTTTTTATATTCAATTGTATCATTTTTGTTGTTAAATTTCTTTGTATAATTGTATAATTAAATAATCTTTAATTAAAAATAGCGAATATGAGGCGCCAACTTTGCCACATTGTGTTTATTTATACATTATATTCTACAATATATATTTTTTATTAGGAAAAAGAATGAGATAAAGTCGACTTAAATCGGGATTTTAGACTACGAGTACCTAAACTCAAACAATTGTTTTCATTCAATATTCCCAATAAAATTGGTTTCTATCAATCCCGGATTGATCAGCTGATTATCATTCTCTACCATATCGAAGTCATCATCTATACTAAAATCCTTGTCATGACTCAAATTCTGTTCCACGCTTTCATTACCATTCATTTCGAAATTCAAATCTAAATTGTCCAAAACCGGTTGCCCATTCAACAAACAATCGCCATTGACGTTAATATTATAAGTGAACGCCTCTGATGAATTCAACGGAGTCGAAGGATACGATCGCGAGTTGTTATAATTAATTTTCGACGGTTTAATAAATGGTACTGGAGTACTAGGCACAGACCTAGAAGGGAGAGATGATATAGAAGGTATGCTTACTTCTCCGCCCATACTTTGAGAACGCATCATTCTTTGCGAACCGAATTCTTGTTGCGTTTGAGGAAAATCGTTGACGTCCATGTTAGATATCAATTGAAATCCGAATTCTCGTAAATTTACGTTATTATTTGAAGATATTTCGTCCATTATATCATTATTAGGCGGTTCCAATGATTTTAATAGTTGTTTGACGTTCTCGCTGTCCGACTCCGGAATAGGGTCGATTTCGGAAAAGTCGTTAGAACTTGACAACACGTTTTGAATTGGTGCAATCATGTTGTGTAACGGTACAGACCTAGATCTGTAACCTTCTAAGTTTGACTCTACGTTCGAGTTTAAAAACTGAGTCATTTCCGGAGAACTATCAGGCTGAAGAGGAAAGCTTCTTAGAGTAGAATAACTGGGATTGTAAGCGACTTTACTAGTAGAATTTAGCAACTTTTGCAAAACAGATTTATTGCTAAGCATCGGACTGACTGGAGCCGACATAGGAAGCAAATTATTACAAAATTGACTGTCGTTGGGAATCTCTACAGTGAGGTCAATTTCTCTTTTGACTTTTAAAGATTTCTTTCCTTCATTTTTAAGAATGCTCGTCGTTACAAGTTTATTCCTCGATACCGGTGTATTTCTAGGGCTCACAAAGGGACTAGCCGATGTACTAGAACACTTTGAATGCATACCGCTGGGAGATTGTGGACCAGGCGATATCGGAGTGAAACTGAAATTTTTCCTTCTGGTATTCGGACTAGCCGGCACAGAATCCTCGGACAAAGGAGTCTCGAAACTCACCCGTCTTTTAATGCTAGTCGATATATTTGTTAAACTTCCATGCGGCGTTAGTTGCGGTTTGAAATTAAGATCAGTTTGTACTGGCATTTGATTCAGACAGTTGCTTGTGAAAGCAACATTTTTGCTGTTGAAAATTGCAGGTACTGATGGTTTAGTGTCCCCTATGTTTTGAACAAGCAGCTGTCTTAAAGTTGACAATTTAGATGTGTCTTCTGATTCTGTCGCTGCCGTGGCGTTACTGTTGCTGAAGTATTTGGAGAGTTCTTCTTCGTGCTGACTATTATTTGTACCTGTAAATAAAATTGATACATTATAATACTAGAGTAAGAGACAGAAAGCAGAAGAAGGAATTGGCAATCAAATGCCACCAACTTTGACACGCAAATAGGGTGGGATTTAAGGAGTGCTCGCTTTTTATAAAGTTATCGCGCTGCAATAACCCAGATCAGCAACGTAGTGAAACTATTGTTTATACCGCTATCCAAGCTAAGATAAAAATATCGAAAATTACTGAAAAATAATTTGTGAAAATCAGTTTAATGTTAAATTAGACACTTATACTCCAAGTTATTAGTGAAGGAAAACAAAACCGTGAAAAACACAAAAAACATTAATCACTGGTTTGTGAAGGACAACTGCCTATAAAAGCTAACACAGTTGTCAACTTGTGAAAAATTTCGCGAAGTTTCGAGGCTACAGAAAATGACAAATATAATATGTCCGCTATCCAACAAAACAACTCCAAAAAGTTACGCGATTTAGTGCATAAAATGTGCAAAATGGCTGCATACAAAATGCATAAATATGACAACAACCCTAAACTCACTACAAAAGGAACTGCAAAATTCCAGAGGTAAAAAATATACATGCTCAGATTGTACAGGTGAAATTAAATCTAAGCCTAATAAACTCTCTGGATGTTTCTTTTTTAATTTCTTCATTACTTCATATCAAATTATTTAAAACTTTCTGACGATCAGCATTAGTAATTGTTCGTTTTTATCGATCATTTGTAAAGTTCTATAGAGAGATTAAAAATAATATTTGGGCTAGTGGAACTACTCTTTTTATAAAAAGTGGTTTTGTGAACCTTGGTTTTAGTTTGGTGATTTAAATGCAATTTCTATTATTCTTTCAATCAATTCTTCAAACCGAATATTACAGTTGCTTAGTGGTTATGTTTTTATATTACCAACAAAAAACAAAAACAAATTTTACTTAATCTTTTTATTACTGTTTCAGTAGAATTTAGCTAAGAACTTGAAAACATGTATTTTAACATGGCTTATTGTTTATATTGATGTGTAATTTCAATAAAGTATAATTTTTACTTAAAAACAAATATTCTAATTATTTAATATTTTTATAAGTACCTTATGTATACATAATTATTCTATATTTCTGTTGTATTTTAATAAAGCTATTTATAAAATATGGACATTTATTAAAATTTGATAAAATTGATCTTTTCACTGTGCCATTTTATTCCACTTTAGCCATCCATATCTTCTCTCCTTCTGAAGTATCTTCTAAAATGAAAAGTCTTAACTCTAACAAAATCGCAAGATTTAAGAGGAAAATTTACATTATAAAACTGAAAGATCAACGGGGCAACGGTATTTTGGTAGGTATAAAAATTACAAGGGTGGAGCCCAAATACTACAAAATTACTTCCGAGACTGAACAAAATCAGCATTCATTCATAATTTTAACAATTGCATGTAGATACGAGAGATACATATTTTCAACTCTAACGCACGAAGTTTATTTATTTATTTATTTTGAAGTTGAGACAAAGGAACCAAAAAATATTCCACAATAGCACAAAATAATATGTATTTTACAATAAGTGATTGTCTGAGATTAGAAAAGCGTCCACAGTTTAGCAATGCATTCGGTCCTGTACCACTGATGTCCTCGACTCAAAAAGCCAAAGTAACAAATATAGAAGGTCAATGTGAACGGACAATAAACGGTCTCTTGACATTTTACAATTTTAAATAATAGTATATTATTTAACGAGCGGTAATACAGGTCATAACTCACGCAGATGAAGTTTGCAGCACGAGCCGCAGGCGAATGCTGCAATTCATCAAGTGAGTTATGGCCATTACCGCAAGTTGAATACTATACTTTATCTACGACTATAACAATAAATACTGAAAGTACATTTTCTGTAAACGAGTTAACGTTCCTATTGCTACATCAATCTTGTAACCTTTTGTATACACCTTTATACTTGTTTTTTGATTTTTCTGGTAATAAATTCTTTATTGCATTATTAGCTACTTATCTTATTTCTGGAGGTGTACATAATAACTCATCTTCACTATCTAAATTAATTTTTTTAGCACTATTATTTGAAATTGATTTAAAAACGTCAAAATTATCTTGTTAAAATATCAAATGACATTACTCCCCTCAATGATAATAATTGACTTTTCCACCTACTGAGAGGCGTTGGCAATTTAATAATTTTAAAATCTTTTAAATATTCAATCCTTTCCAGTTGTTAAAGAATTTTTCTAACATTTTATGCCAATAGAACGTATTTATCAGCTTTAAAATTTCCAAGTATTTACTGCGCACACTATTTACATACCGAATTATCGTAGGAGCCCAACGTGAGTTATAATAACTCACTATCAAAACTCACTCTATTTGTTTATTGATACTATTAATAATTAATATATAAATTAATAGTAGATAAACTAGGGTTTTAAAAAATATTTTCTATACCTGTTGTTTCTTATATTTAAGCAGATTTATAATATTCAAAGTTGGGGTAGCCATGAGTTAGCTAAATGAAAAGGTACCTACTTTGGTTTTATAATATGTAACGATCATATATAATGTTTCAGCATATTATTTTTATATTTTAACAAAAATTATTTTTGTTGTTTGAATAATCTGTTATAATGAACTACCTAGGTACAGCTTCTGGAACAAATTCTTAAAAAGTTGGCTATCAACAACCGAGTTGTAAGTTGCACAATTAAAAAAATTTATCCATTTGGGCAAAAACTACAAATGAATTGACAGAAAAAAGTGATAGGTAATAAGTTTTTTTTTTATCTCACAATGTCGGGTATAAGAAGTTATATAGAAAAAGTTAGTATTCAATATAATCTAGACAAAAAAAAACATGTTTAAATGAAAATATTAAATAAAATATGACCATTCTTTAACATAGATATATTTATTTGTATTATGAAAACAATGTTTAGGTCAACAAACTCATGTTTGGTATGTGTAACAATTTGTAAAACTTTTCTATAATGATAATATTAATATTTAAAGGTTTTTGAATAAGAACTTGAAGATATCACAGTTCGAAATTCCTTTTATTGACCATAATACTTTTTCTTTGGAATGAAAGCATTAGTTCCTGTTTTTCAGTTAAGCTCCATAAATCAATTCATATTTAAATCTGAACAGTACCTAAGCGCAGTAAAGTTGCAACAACTAAACAATATAATGAACTTTTAAAATGAAATTCAATTTATATTTAGAATTAAATAAGTTTGCTAAAATTTTTGACCATATGAAGTTATTAAAGTTATAAATAATTACGTTACAAAGATTCATATATGAATTTTAAATTTCTATTGATGTGATAGTTACTGAACTGCGTTTTACATTATCAATACATGGCTTTGGCACAAAACCCTTTGTAGTAAAACTACTAATCCGAATCAGAATCTTAATATTATTTGTGAACTTAAAAACGTAGTCCACCAGTCAAAATATTTGGTATAATAATTATATATCATCTATTGCCACTATCATTGGTAAAATCCAACATTTAAAAAAGCGTATTATTATAATAAAACATTAATCATATTTTAACCGGATCGCTTACTACCATGTTTTAGAAATAAAAAAAGTGTAACTCTTAAATTAATAAACATATTCCAAATAATTTAAGATTCCATGTAAATAAAAATGAAACAAAATTTCTCACCATTTATTTGGTATTCTGTCCCGTACTTCCATGTCTCTAATAACTCTGCTGTCAACTAGTTCTGGTAAGGCATATTGCATAACAAAATTTTGAATTTTATTTTGCATCTTTTCTTCCCAAAAGCTGTCATTATGAGGAATGTTCTCCACTTTTATTCCTCGAGAAATCCAAACACATAAAATGCAAAACTCCATTGGTATAATGTGAAGCTAGCCATGAATTTGAAAATAACAATTGTGGTTTTCTTTAATGCATATTTCTTCTTCTATAGTCAGCACTCTAGCTCCATATGGACAATTTAACTCATCATAGAGTTTTGTTTTAAACTCCATCCAAACTGGCAGCAACATAATCAAATTCGGAATTAATAAAAAGTCCACATTTATAAAACTTTTTCTTGCCAATAAATTTCCAAAAGTTATTTTGCTCTGGATTTATTGTCCATGCCATAGTGGGTGGCTTTAGCAAAAAATAAAAAATGTTTTAATATTTTTTAAAGACGTTTCGTTCTTTACAAATGTCTCAAAATTTTGAAGTAGTGACATGTTTTCGTCTTTTAGTGTCACAATGCACAATCAGCTTGACATTCATTTTTTTTTTTCTTATCTATAGAGATTTTTTTTTACCTTTCCTCGTAAATTAGATACAGATTTAGTGAACTAACAAACAAAAGAAGATATTGTTTGAAGTTTGCCATTGTAATGCATGTTGTATGCAGTTGTATATGTCACAGAATAACCAAGAACCTATGTGTTTTATTGCAGTTTTAATATATACTGGGTATATAAAAAAATCCAAAGTCAAATAGAAATGTATATCACAAAGAACACAAACACCAAAAACTAAAAAACAACTAATCAAATCAACATAAGCATGGACGAATAATAAACATGTAAACAGACATAAATTTTAAGACAAACAAATGTCAAATTGTGGATTATTAAAAATATTTCATGTGCGCATGCCCCGGATTTAAAATCCAGAGAATAAACAGATATTTTTCCAACCGTTGTCCATCACTTCATTTGTTTCTGCGAATGTCAAACTAATAATTGGAAACTATCAGTGATTCTTCTACAAACGCCAAATTTTCAATGCACATGCGCTGTTCAGTTGGAAACGGTTGTGGATCGCTCTACGAACAAACCTATTATAAATTGTTTTCACAAATATTAATTTCTTAAAAATCTAACAGAGGCGCCACTTTTCAGACGAAAAATCTTGCAATGTAAGAGTTTCATAGTACCCCACTTTTAAAGTTTATTTCCGACTATTTTTAAAAGAAAAAAATATGTACGTGTAGGTAAAGGTTAAATCCATGCTCCTCAGGAATCACTTTTGCAAAATTCTTTAGTTAAAAAAAAAATAAATTGATAAAAAAGTCTAGTTTTAATTATTGTGGGGTACCACGAAACCCTTGCATGTTCTGCTCTAAAGCCAAGTAAATACTGGGGTACCATCGAATTAAATAATTATTAAAATATTTCCATTATATCCATATTTACAAAAATATTTGAATCTATACTAAAAAATTGAAAAAATGACTCTCACTTTTTGCACATGTGCTGTAACGGCGAAAACGATGGCTTTCCGGATAATCTGTTTCAAATTTTTTGCTCTACAACTTTTCTCTAATTAAATTTTCTACCAAAGTATGTGGTTTTTATATAAAATGCAAAAAACTGCAAAATATATACATTTTTTTGCGTATCTAGCTGCTAAAATATAAAGGTTGGCAAAAAATGTAACAGGATATAATCTATAGAATAACGTTTATTATTCAAAAAAGGCACATCGTTTTTAAGTAAAATACAAAAATCTGGAAAAATCTTACGATTATTATCATCTTTGTACACGAAATTTTGTCAAAAAAATTCAAAACCTTCATTGCTATCTGGGTATCTATGCTGTACTAAAAATTTCGCCTTACAAATCTAATTCTGATGGATTATTAAAAAAATGAAGAGAAATAACTGATTGAATTTTGGTTGAATTATTGATACATCTGCGAAACGAATTTTGACAGTATTTAAATTATTACTCACCCAAATATTCATCCATGGCATCTTTGGATACATTACTGACGCTATTAAGTCTTTCTCTGGTGAGGGGAAAATCAGGAACATCACATTCTTCATCACTAGTTTTTTCCTTAATCCTAGCTATATCAGGTATATGTTGAGATCTATGGTCCTCGACCTCTGGCAGTGGCAGTTGCGTTGTCGGCAGAGGCGGAGGGTTGTACGACACAATATCACATTGTTGCAGTCTGGGCCGGAGCGTTTTGTACTTTGGTTGCTTCCTTATCGGTGAGGAGGGCACGTTAGTTGTACAGGATTGGACGCTAGATGGCGCGAGTCGAGTTATCGAAATCTTGTTCGTCAACACCAATTGCGGTTCCTAAAATAAACGAACAGGATAGGTTTAGTTCTGATTCAGTTCTAAATCAATTCTGAAAGAGTCCTACATCAATTCTGGATCAGTGACATTTTAATCTTTTTTTCAACATGAAAAATACCACTATCCTAGGAGTAATACATATTTTTACTTATTCAAATTTTATTTGGTAAATTTAAATAATTAAGGAAACTCTAGGATTTATAAAATATAGTCATTATCGACAATTTTTTGGTCCTTCGAACCGCATGATTTTACAAATCCCTTGATTGGGAGTTTTCTCAGCTATTTATTCATACATTTGAATGTGCATTAAAAAAATACCTTAATTGCAATAAACTAAAAACAAAAAATATAAATGGCTCTTTTTAGTAACTCGAAACGACATTGAAATATAACTAACTGCTTCTTTAAACAAAAAACAGTTAAACAACCACTATAACTTTTAATAAACAAATCCAGGTCCTGATTTACATTCTTAATCCTGTATATTTCTTATTTTTGAAAAAGTTCTTTATTTTAATGACTTCTAAATACAGTTAAAAAAGTTCATCCTGTGCAGTTGTTAGAGCTCCTATAATACATTTAAAAGAAGACATTCAATTCTAACCTGTCTCGTAGTGCCTATCACACCTTCCGCTGCCGGCTTCTGGAAACTGTTGAAGTCAGGTAACACTGGTAGCTGAGTGAAATCTAGTGATTTATCACAGATAGGTTTAGCCTGAGTGGGACTTGTGCTGGTGCTGCTGCTGGCAGTGCTGCTGCTCCCGCATTCTCCACCCATCGAACTCGAATTGGCACCGCCATTGATCGTTGTTGCTGATGTTGTCGGAGAGAAGTTCGACGTTATGTTTTGGGCGGGAACGCTTTGCGAACGAGATTTCTTCATATTGGGTTTTTGCTCAGATTTTGGTGACTAACAAAAATAAAAACAATGGATAATTTCATCATTTTATATTTAAATAGAAATTTTTATAGATTTATATGGATTTTTATGAATTTTTATAGATTTTTATAGATTTTTATAGATTTTTATAGATTTTTATAGATTTTTATAGATTTTTATAGATTTTTATAGATTTTTATAGATTTTTATAGATTTTTATAGATTTTTATAGATTTTTATAGATTTTTATAGATTTTTATAGATTTTTATAGATTTTTATAGATTTTTATAGATTTTTATAGATTTTTATAGATTTTTATAGATTTTTATCGATTTTTGTAAATTTTTATAGATTTTTATGGATTTTTATGGATTTTTATAGATTTTTTAGATTTTTATGGATTTTTATAGTTTTATAGATTTTGTATAGATTTTTTATGGATTTTTATGGATTTTTATGAATTTTTATGAATTTTTATAGATTTTTATGGATTCTTATGGATTTTTATAGATTTTTATCGATTTCTGTAGATTTTTGTAAATTTTTATAGATTTTTATAAAGGTTTATGGATTTTTATAGATTTTTTTTATACATTTTTATGAATTTTTATGGATTTTTATAGATTTTTATAGATTTTTATAGATTTTTATAGATTTTTATAGATTTTTATAGATTTTTATAGATTTTTATAGATTTTTATAGATTTTTATAGATTTTTATAGATTTTTATAGATTTTTATAGATTTTTATAGATTTTTATAGATTTTTATAGATTTTTATAGATTTTTATAGATTTTTATAGATTTTTATAGATTTTTATAGATTTTTATAGATTTTTATAGATTTTTATAGATTTTTATAGATTTTTATAGATTTTTATAGATTTTTATAGATTTTTATAGATTTTTATAGATTTTTATCGATTTTTGTAAATTTTTATAGATTTTTATAAATGTTTATAGATTTTTTATGGATTTTTATGAATTTTGTATAGATTTTTTTATAGATTTTTATGGATTTTTATAGATTTTTATGGATTTTAATGAATTTTTATAGATTTTTATAGATTTTTATGGATTTTTATGGATTTTTATGGATTTTTATAGATTTTTATCGATTTCTGTAGATTTTTGTAAATTTTTGTAGATTTTTGTAAATTTTTATAGATTTTTATAAATGTTTATGGATTTTTATAGATTTTTATAGATTTTTTTTATACATTTTTATGAATTTTTATGGATTTTTATAGATTTTTATAGATTTTTATAGATTTTTATAGATTTTTATAGATTTTTATAGATTTTTATAGATTTTTATAGATTTTTATAGATTTTTATAGATTTTTATAAATGTTTATGGATATTTATAGTTTTTTGTAGATTTTTGTAAATTTTTGTAAATTTTTGTAAATTTTTGTAGATTATTGTAAATTTTTATAGTTTTTTATAGATTTTTATAGATTTTTATAAATTTTTGTAGATTTTCATAGATTTTTTTATAGATTTTCATAGATTTTTTTATAGATCTTTATAGATTTTTTTATAGATCTTTATAGATTTTTTTATAGATCTTTATAGATATTTATAATATTCAAAAAATTTTATATAAACTTTTAATGTTTTATTTATTTATGAGATGACACGTTTTAGTGAGCCAAACTTGTAATTTAAAAAAATCTTTCTATTATCCTATTTATCCTTTAATTGGTCTAAATTTCGATGGAATAAAGTGTTACTAACCTGCGTTCTTTTCTTCTTTTCTTTCCCTTCATTCTTTTGTTGGATTTTTCTTTGTAGCTGAAGCTGCAGTTCTCTGTGTTTATTTGGAACTTTCTCACTGCCTTCTTCTGTTAAAACATAGACAAAATGTTAATTAATTCTTTATAATAGAATATATTAGAATTAAAAGAAAGGCGGATAAGGTTTTAGTGTACGGAGATGCTAGAAAAAAATGCTTGACAAGCACATATTATGTTGTACGACTTTTTGATTGTTGTATATTTGTTGCAACTGAACGTATACATACAATTGAATAGTTAATGGAGAAAATAGACAATGTGGCTGCGGAAAACCGACATAATCATAAATTAATAATTATAGAGTAAAGAGTTCTTTATAAAGACGAGTAATAGCATAATTTGATGATAACAGATTCCATTTAATGATATTCTTGGTTTATTTCTCAACGACTAGTAGTTCGAACGAACCCAACTTTAAGATATTAACTTTAACTTTTAACTTTTTAAATTTTACCTTTTAAAGATGCTTCTCCAGCCGAAGTTATCTTAGAAGCAGCTTCCGATCCAGTGCCAATTGAGTGGTTCAAAATTAAAAAATACGCTAGAGCTTGTATAGTAGAAAACTCTTGGTTCAACAATTTTTCTGCCCATTCTTTAACTATTAACCATGCCGCCGAAGCAAGGCTCGACTGAGTAAACGGAGCCTCTGTGGACTGTAAAAAATTAACGTTTTAATATTCCATCTTTTAAACAAAAATTTTCTGGTGGCGAACGCATTTATAAACTGTTTCTACTAAGTGATTGTATTTTGCAAGAGTCTTAGATGACTTGTATTTACTTGAATATGATTATTATAAAGAGACAGCAAGGGATATAAAAGAAAATAAGATAAATAGGTTGATCTATTTGTTGTCGGTTATGATAAATATATGAGTACATAAACCAAGCATTAAGTTTTTATATTTATTGGTAAATGATGGAACGAAGTGATTCGAAATACCAATAAACAGTTAAATTAAGTTACAAACCTGTTTAATTAGTAGTTAGGATATATAGATTTCTTAAGTAAACGGTTTACTTATGTATGAATTATTAAAACAGGAAAATTTTGACTAAACTTCATCACTTACCATTAGTTTGTCCGCCAAATCCGGCAAAACTGGCGACTTTAAAACCGCACATCTTCTAAGTCCAGAATAGCAGTACCTAGAATTCCCTCTTGTGCCCAATCTTCTAGCCCTCACCCTAGGATATACTTGTTTCATAACTTTTCCAAAATCCGCCTGTGATAGAGGTTTTATGCTGTTCCGTCCACAGTAATTACTGAAACGAAATAGAAGTGCAACGTTAGCCAGGAGAAAGGTTTCTATTAAATTATAATTTATAGATGTGAACATTGCCACTTTATAGTATATTTTTTGGATTTCCAAGTATTTCTAAGTATATATTTTGAATATTGTTTTTATTTTATATCCAACAAATAAAATTGTCAAGAGTTAAATCTAAGAATACCCATAGGCTAAATTTCGATCATAAAACAATCATAAATTAATTAAATCAATCAATCATAAATAAATCGTAAATTAATGATAAAATCGTTTGTTCTGACTGACTGATTTATTAATACACAGCAAAACTACTAAGTCTAGAGAGCTGAAATTTCGAATATAGGTTTATTTTATAATGTAAGCAACCATTCAAAAAGGATTTTTGGAAATTTTAATTTTAAGGGTGGAAATGGGTGGGAGGGAGACTATGTATGAGACTTAAAGCTCCAATTAAAATGCAAATATCAGTGGCAAAATCTGCAAACACAAAGTTAAAATCCATACCAATAGAAGGAGAGAAACCTATGCTCTCCAAATATTATAAAGATTGAAATAAAAAACTGCATTTGGAATCTGCATAATTGCAGTAAATTAGTTTTTATTTCATTTTAATCCAAGTAAAAAACAAAAATAGTGAAAAAGTGGCCTAATAACTTTGCTGATAAGATAAGAAGATATCCTTTTAATATTTCTATAAATATTATTCCGAATTGTTTACTATCCATAATGTCATGGATCAAAACTAATACTGTTCCAGACGACCTAAAAATTTGTATAATAACACCAATAACAAAGGTTGAAAATTCAAATAGGATAATGGGCTTACGTCCTATTAATATGTTATGTACGGTAAATTTTTTTGCACGGTTGAGTAGAGCATAAAACCCCCTTTCAAATGAGCTAACACTCACCACTCCATGCCATTTAAATTTTTCGAAAGGGTTGCTCCCCTCCAGTAAGGGATGAAATTAAGGGCAAACTATTCATAGAAAAATGTACATTGCAGAAATCAAAAATCGACGTGTTTCGGCGATTTTTCTAACAAGACTCCAGTAACGAGTTAGATAGGGGGGTAAGACTTATGATGCTCACTGTATAAATACCACATTAAAGCAAATATTTAATTAAAAGTAAATATTATTAAAACTAAGTTAATGATCATCGGGAAAGTTAGGTATTTACAATGAATTTATTGAAAATATGAAGATTAGTATTGAAAATGTCATTGAAGTCATAAAAAAATTAAATAACTGGGATTAGTAGTAGACCTTATGTATGATGATAAACAACAAAGTGTTGTAAAAAATTGAAGAAAGATTTGGAAAGATAGAAACAGAACTAAGTGTCCTAAAAGATGATTTTAAAAAACTCAAGATGAAAATGATCAAAACCACAAGGAAAAAGTTCTAACAGATTTTTCGCCCATGTATGACAGAACTGATAATGCTTTTAATACATTCTTTAGAATCATTTCATATCATATTGATGTAACTTGTCCCCTTGTCAGAACAAAAATGGTTAAAAAGAACACATCAATACATTTTTGCAAATAATTTTTTTTAACCTATACCATGTAGGCATTAAATGTGTACTTCAGTTGTATAGTTTTTACTTTACTTGCGTTATTTCATCTTTTGTTACATGGTGTTCTATTACTTTAATTACTTAGTGTACTTTGTTCAATAAAAAATATTTATAAATTCTCAAAATAGTTTATTCTAAAAATAAATACTAAAAACTAAATATTCTCAGAGCCAAAAAAAATATACACAAAATAAACAAGGATTAATAAAGTATTATTATTATTAGATATCATGAGAGAATTGATAGATCAAGGAAAAACAATACTGTCATTTTTGATCTAATTGAAAATGATACTCAGCCAAACTATGATACAATCCAAATTCAATCAATTCTCAACTGTCATAATGATTTTGCAGAAAATGTTGAAAAAACATTCCACCTGCAAATAAAATGTGAATATGGATTCCCATCTAGACCTATCATAATTTGGATTAATTATTAATCATCAAAATTTCCAAAGATGGTTGTTTGAGTTCATAACAAGAAGAAAACTTGCTAAAACTGTTAATAATTCACTTTTGTGGTTAAAATATTGAGCCGATAAATAAAACCATTAATTAATATGAACTTATAATGTATTTTAATGAAATAATATACATGCATATGATGTATTTAAAGAATTCTGTACAGTTTATACATTTTGTACATTTTTACCTCTCTACTCCTAGAATGATCATGATGAATTCTCCCTTAAATAGAATGTGCATCGATTTTAATGAGAATACTAAAAGGATTGACCTATTCTATTGTTCATTAAATCACTCTTAGAATAAAATCAAAATATTGTCATAAATTAGCCGGTTTCTTTATCTTTCTTTATTTCATTACATGGTTGTCTATTTTTATTATTATATATTATATACTTGTTTCAGCTTTATTAGTATTTAAGCTATCCTGTAATTGGGTGTACTCCTGTTTGGGCAATAAAGGATTTTTTTTGTAGCTCTAAGGACACCGCTCAGCCTGTCGTAACAATGCTTTGTTTGACAAATATATATGTATATATTCACTTCCAACTATTTTTCACCAATTGTCGACTCTCTATTATATTTTAGAAACCTAAAAGCAAAAATATGAATGATCGCATTAAAAATGGAAAACATTTGAAAATTGTTGCAATGGAAAACTTATAATAGTAAAAAAATATTAATCCTGTTTCTACCAGAACACTAGAGGTTTAAATTCTAAAACTTCCGAATTCAGTCAAGCGACACCTTATACCCAGACAGCACACCAAATCCTTTGGATATCTACTTGACATCCCAATATCCACTGAATGTCCAGTCCATGGTGGATATCTATTTTATATCCATGATGTAATTTATAGACATGCAGATGTCCATAAATAATAGTAATTATATAGCAAATTCTTAAAAAATTACGCCATTGTACTCGTCATTATGGCTAATAGTACCGTTCGGATATTTAAAATTAATTTTTTTAAGGTGCATTCAATATCCCATGGACATCCACTAAATATATCAAAGTCTAGGCGCGAACGTAAACCATGGTGGATATCCACTAGATGTAATTTTTTATTTTGCCCACTAAGAAGAAAGTCATTCTTGGACTGGTTTCATCCTTATTAGGACTAGAATTATTTCCTTTTTTAAGAATAGCCCGTCTGGCTTTTATTCCAGCTAGTCTCTGAACTAGGTACTACAGCGACCTTTGATTTTGCTTACTAAGTATAGATGGCGATACCACTTTCGCTCGTTGAATATCTACTCATGCTCAACCCGCCGTAATTAAGTTCGATCGAAATTGGTATTGCAATCAGACTCCATTAGAGACTGGAGTAGAGAATTTCTATTTATTGCTGAAGAGTCCTAATAAGGATGACTTTCTCCTTAGTGGGCAAAATCAAATCAAAAAATATTTTCTATCTCTGCTATTTTCTTTCGACGTTATTCAATAATCATTGGTTACTTATGAACCTCTACTAAAGATACCCATAAAATATTTTGCTGAATATCCATAGAATATCTTCTATATCGTGGGATATAGACGGACATTTGGATATCCATATTAGATCCACTGGATATATTGGATATCCACAAAATATATTCTGTGGATATCTCTGGGATTTCTTGTACTGTCTGGGAGATATCCATTAGATATTTTGCTGGATATCCATAGGATATCTTTTAAATTCTGGATATAGACGGACATTTGGATATCCATATTATATCCACGGCCCCACGGGACATTTCTGATATCCTATGGATATATTGGATATCCACAAAAGATATTCTGTGGATATCTCTGGGATTTGGTGTGTTGTCTGGGTAGTCATAACCGAAACTTAGCTTCAAACAAATGTATCAAATTAAGAGCTGTTTAAAAACAACTATTACATTTTTAGAAGTGAATGTGACCTGCTAAGTAATAATGTTTATTATTCCTGCATATTTTGTTATAAGTTGGCGCATGGCCTTATTAAATCACCATAACTTCTATCGCAACTTAATTTCAATATTGGATCAAGAAATGAATTGTTTTTATTTACCATTTCAAAGAACAAATCTGTTTATAAAATCTCCTATATTTGCAATGTGTAACAAATTCAATAAATTATGTAATCAGTTTGAGTTATACTCCACAAATTTATATATTATGTTTAAACAAAATGTTATCAATTTTCTTAAAAATAAGTAAAAGTACTAAATATTTGTTTATGTAAATTTTAATTAGGTATTAAATTATTATTGTTATAAAACGCTCGTCACTAAATTAAATTTTATCCTGTAATTGGACCATAGGTCTGCTTGGAGAATAAAGGACTTTTTTAGTAAACTACATAGGTATCAAAGTACTATGAATTCTTTATTCTTTAAAGGTTTTAAAAAATTCAATTGCCTTCCTTTATTAAAAAATGTACGTTTTGATTAAGCTTTTATAAATTTTAAGATAAATAAATTTCTGTGTGATATTGTTTTGTATTTGGCATTTTAAATTTAAGCAACTTTTATATTTTTATGTAAACTCTTTCTATTCTTTTTACTTTCCTATCTGTATACAGATATAAGGAAAGTATAGGAATCATGATTTTTTTTCGACGGATTTTTACGTTTTGAGGTCCCTGAATCCGTTTTGACTATTTTCGCGATGATGTCTGTGTGTGTGTGTCTGTATCCACCATAACTCATGAACCGATACACAGAAAAACAACAAATTTTAAACTTAAGCTTTATTCCAGCGTCCAATGAACTGACGAGATTTTGGGCAGAGTCGGAACATCTGGGTGGGTACTTTATAGGTAGTCATTTTTATATTTTATGGAATATATCTGTTATTTACGTTTGGAGAAGAAAACTCTTCAAATAAAAGTTACTTCTAATATCATTATTTATAATTTTTGTTCTATACAAAATTTTCCTAAAATGGTCCGTATTCGAGAAATTTGACTAAATGTAGAAACAATAATTTTTTATAAAAATTATTCAAATAAAAGTTGTTTCTCTATAATTTTTATTCTATACATAATTTCTCTAAAATGGACCGTATTTGAGAGAATGTGTAAATTTCGAATTTTGAAGAAAACTCAAAAACGGATAAAGAAAAAAACATTAAATTTTAAACCTAAGTTTTATTTCGGCCTGACGTGAAATGACTAGATTTTGGACAAAGTCGGAACATCTGGGGGGTACTTTATGGGAGGCCGTCTTTATATTTTATGGAATATATCTGTTATTTATGTTTGGAGAAGAAAATTGTTTGAATAAAAGTTACTTCTAATATTACTATCTATAATTTTTGTTTTATGTCAAAATTTCCTGAAATGGTCCGTACTCGAGAAATTTGACAAAATGTGCAAAATTCTGATATTTATGAAAATTATTATTATTAAATTCTTTATTTAGCTTTGCTAATACAAAAATAGTAGTTTTTACAACAGTAAGTATAGTTTATACATTATGTAAAATGGGGCAGAATTAAACTATTATAAAGAAGCTTTAAAGACCATTGGTTAAGATGTTTTGAGCATCTATATAAATAGCTGATTTTAAATTATATTGTTTTAATAACATAATTAGCATGTTCTTTAAATAGTAACATATAGTCAACTATGACACCCAGAAATTTAAATTTTTTAACAACTTCAATATTACTATTTTCTATATTTACTTTTAGGTTACTAATATTATATTCTTGATAGTTTTTGTCATTTCCTATAATCATGAACTTAGTTTTATTGTTATTAATTTTTAAAGAATTAAAACGGCACCATTGAAATATTTCTTTTAGTGTGTTATTTATATTTTCAATTATTTCATGTAACTTGTCTGAAGCAAAATAGATCAAATTGTCATCTGCAAATAAGATAATGTAACAGTTTCCTGCGACACATGCTATATCATCAATGTACAAGAAGAACAATAATGGTCCCAACACACTTCCTTGCAGGACACCTTGTTCATTTTGGATTTCATCTGAAGTAATGTTGTTAAACTTTAGCTTCTGTTTTCTGTTATCTAAATAATTTATTAACCACTGTAATGCATCATCAACTATTCCAAAACTTTCTAATTTACTAATAAGTAATGTATGATCTACAGTTTCGAATGCTCTTTGTAAATCAAGAAATAGAGCACCAGTAATTAATTTATTATTTTTATTTTGCTTGAAGTGATCTAGGACATATTGTACTGCTGTTTCACAACTATGCTTTCCTCTATTAAATAGATTATTTTCCTCTAAGTAATGAATAAGTTGATTATAAACAAATTTTTCTAATACTTTCTCTATTGTACTTAGCATATTAATCGGTCTTAAGTCTGCTGCTCTATTTGAATTTGAGACTTTAGGGATTGGTATGATAACTGAAGTTTTCAAGGCTGTAGGAACTATATTCATTTCTAAGCAGGTGTTGAACTAAAAGTTGTTTGCAATATTGATCTCTATAATTTTTGTTTATACATGATTTTTTTAAAATGGACCATAATGGTAAAATTGTAGGAAAAGTGCTAAATTTAAATTTTTCAGTATTTTTGTTTTCAATGAATATTTATAGAAAAATGTTTCAATGTAGATGTATGTGGAAAATGTATATATTTAGTTTATCCTCTAAACATTTATAGAGGTGCTGCAATAGGTTGTACAAAATAACCGGAAAAAGCCTATAATAACTAGATAGGAAAGTCATGTGTTGAACACATCAGATTTTTATATAATGTATATTAGGATTCCTAATTCAAGGAGGATATATCTATCTATCTATCTAAAACTAGGTGCAATACCCACATTGTAAAATTAAATTTAAATTAAGTAGGATCATAATTTATCACTATTTACTCTAATTGAATAAACAAATAGTTATTTAGCAATTCAATAAATGGAAATATTTATTTAAACAGTTTTTTGCTGCATATAATTGGTTAATTTAATTTGTTTTTGAAATTTCAACTGTGAATTTAAGAATGTACCAATAATAATTATAAGTTGAATAATTGGATAAATTAGTCTAATAGAATGAAAACAGTGAATAGATGTGTCTTTAAAAGTAAGTATTGTATTCCTTATTAACAAAACGAATACTTAGTTTCAAGTTTAGTAACTTTTTCATAATTTATTGCTATTTATATTACATTAACACATTCTGGCTTGACCTTGTCTCAATTTTATTATCAAGGTCAATAACAAATTTTTTTGTTCTTAATTTGTTAGGAGTAAATAATGATAAATTACTTAATTATTATTTTTTTATTGTAAGCTCTGACTTACTGGTATTCATTATAAACTTCCTGTTTCGGCAAAGATATATCAGGATCTTCTTCTAAATGTGTTTTAATCCATGATATTGTTCTTGTAATTTCTGATCTGCTACCAAGAGGATTTAGAGGTTGCCTAAATGGATCTACGGCGCTTGTTACTTCTGCAGGCAGTTTCAAAAATAGAAGAAATTTTTCTACCTGAGACAGTGGTTTGATCTGTTCCGATATTGAATGTATAATTTGTTTCGCCTTCTCGCTGAAATAATGATTTTTTTTAATTTAGAACAGATAATTAAGCATTTAAATTTTATAAAGAGGATATTTATATCGTTTGTTTATTTAAGCAGATGGTGTGTTACAAATTAATTAATCAATGTATCACTAACCTAATGGTGATTTTGATAGGTCCAGAATCTTTCTGGAGCTCATTTTCCACAAAATCCTTCGCATCTTCTTTGTCCGACTTTTTGGAGCATTCGCCGTCCTCTCCATTTTCTGTGGTACCATTGTTTAAATCATTCCCCGTCCTTTCGAGATCTGTCGGCACAGATTGCTGATATTCCGTAGTCCATATTGGATTTTCCATTATTACCGAAACGAATTCGGCAACTTTTAGATGTTTTTAGCAAAAACCGCACGAATTTTTTTCGATTTTCCAGCTAAAACAGCTTGTCTACACCGGAACATTTTATTGTCAACTCAAATCAGCTGGTCCCCAATGGACTACGGGCTGGAAAGATCTATCTTTGACAGTCTGCTGTCAAATGACGTATTTGATAGTTCAAATGCTCCTGACGCTTGTCGGTTTTGTATAGATCTTTTATTTGCCTCTTAGTTTAATTATTTATACTTTATCTTGTCATATGGTAATATAATATACTTTTAAATGAGATATCAATAATCAATATAGAAAAGATTTGGAAAGTTTAAAAAATTAATTTATAACAAAAGTCTGTTCGTTTGTTCGACAATCATTTGATCTACGACTTATATGAACTACCGTTAATTTTTTTTAATTCAAGGCCACTCGTGATCGACTTGCTACAGTAATATATAATATAATCTATAATATTCGTATTCTATTTTAACCGATATTGGTGTTTTATGCATAAGCCAATTTGGGAGAATTTAATTACATATTTTAGAGCTGACAACATTGTAAAATCAGGTGTTTTGCTTAGTGCGTTTTTTAGTTTTTGTGGTTTTTATGTTGTTCTGTGATTTTGTTTCGTGTTTCGTGGTGGTTTATGGTTTCGTGGTGGTTTATGGTTTCGTGGGTGTTTTCATTTTCATTTGCAATTTTCCATTTTCAACTGTGATTTCCAAGTCCAAGTGTTTCGCCAGCTCTTATTTGTTATTTGCAAGTTAGAAGTTTACACATAAAAATAAATTTCAGGTATTTAAAGTTTGGTAATTGCAAATTTCCATTATTTTACCCACATAAACATAACCTCAATTCTATATTTCATGATTCAGCAAATAGTTAAAACATTCTTTTTAATCGTCTAGATAATTCAAAAATGCCTGCTGGAGGTGCATTATTTGGAAGCGCTGCTGCTGGTCCTGGTTCAACCGGAGGAAATAAACATCTTATTGAAGTTAGAGCTGGAAAAATGACCTTAAAAGGTAAATTATTTATAATTGAATATACAAAACCTATGAATTAGATTAGATAGTCTGAACTATATGAGAGTTATCAGATTCGACTGAGCTTCCGTTTCGTAAAATATGAAAAGTGTGGAGAGTATATTTACATAAATATTAATCAACTTAATTTTAACCACTGTCGCATATCTATCCCACTAGAAGAATACACAGACGTGACAAATATTTATAGTTCGGGATACATTTACAATTAATTAAATACCAGTCTTCCATCGCTATATTGTGTTGTATTAAAAGTAGTATATTTTTATCTTTAGGTCGAATGGTTTATCCAGATACACGTAAAGGGCTGTTATATGTTTACCAAAGTGATGATTCATTGATGCACTTTTGCTGGCAGGATCGCACAACTGGCATTGTTGAAGATGACTTGATTATATTTCCAGATGATTGTGAATATGCAAAAATTCCCCAGTGTACTACTGGTAGGGCTTATTTGTTAAAATTCAAGTCGTCTAACAAAAAGTTCTTCTTTTGGTTACAAGTAAGTACTAATATACCACAGATTATGGTTCTTTTTATACTCATTTTCTATAAGCAAACTCAACTGTAGTCCTGATATAATAAAGAATGCCATATTTAGGTAATTTTGTAACTATTATTGTTAATAGGTACAGACTGAAAGAGTCTAGTCAATAACCCAGAGTGTTTCCTAAACATTGACTCTTTAAAAATATTTATCTTTCATGATTCCTCTATCTTAGCTCTGTGCAATATACATACATATACAATAGTAATCTTTATTTATTAGCATGTAGCTAGCAAGGAACAAATTACATAGAATATTTAAACACATATCAACAAAAAAAAGTCTTAAGTTACAACTGTTAATATTGTCAATACAGGCTTTTTTAAATTTTTTTAGATTATCACAGTTTTTTATACATTCAGGTAACTCATATTGTTTCAGTTCTTTATAGTATAAGGAGTCTTTATCTACATTAGAACTAACTTTTGATATATAAAAATTATTTCTTGAATGAGTGCATTGCAGTAATAGTCTGCCTTACACTTAATAAATTAGTTAAATTTAACATATCAGTTCTTCTAGTATACTGGTTACAGCCCAATAATGAGTGAAGCTTAGAAAGCAACTATGTAATTTTGTTGTAGGAACCAAAATCTGATAAGGATGAAGATAATTGCAAGAGAATTAATGAGTTATTGAATAATCCTTCAAGTGCTGTTCAAAATACACCAAATCCTGATCAAGACTTACAATCTTTGCTTAACAACATGTCTCAGTCGCAACTGATGCAACTTTTTGGTAGCGGTGTTGGCCAAATGGGAGGTCTATCAAGTCTTTTAGGAACTATTAGGTATTTTTCTTCGATCAAGCAATAATTGTAAAAAAATAATTATAACATTATTTAGGAAAATAAAATTATAACGCTTGTCAATTTAATATTAGGTACTAATAATTATTTTTATACTTTAGGGGTCCAAACAGTGGCAGCGCCCGTACCAATACAACTCCTGCAATTACTCATAGAACCACCACTACAACAGTTCCTAGCACACCGACCACCACCACTACCACCCCAAGCACCCAACCATCTGCAACAGCTGGCTCAACGACACCCCAAAACTCTACAATTCCTACAGTAACTCCAGATGCTCCCAGGGCTAGGGGAAGAAACACCACCAGGGCTCCCGAATCTCCATCATTTGAACCAATTCAATTGGCCGATTTGCAAAATTTCTTGACCGGTATCGCCCCACCATCAGGAAACGCTGGTGCAGCTGCGCAACAGCAATCTGGTAAAATAAAAAAATCATTATACAGGGTGTGATTGATTTAGAAAAATGATATTTCTGTAAAATAGAGTTTGATTATGATATACTGGATTTAATATTAAATAATGCATGTCATTGATGTAACGTTAAATTTAAGGTCGTCATAATCACACATAGTTGTCAAATTATCAAAATAATAGGGGAATATTAGAAAATTTTTAGTTTTCTGAAAACAATGAATTTTAGTAGGAAACATTTTAATTGGTTTAGGAACATTATATTGTCTTTTGTTAAGTTTTCAATACTTTTCATCAACTTGATGTTCTTATTTTTTTAATTGAGTAAGCTGATCAGTTATATTTCTTATTATCTTCCAATGCAAAATTTAAAACTCTAAATTCAGTTAACTTTTTACTTTCATCCATAAAGATTTTGGTTTCAATTTTAACACAACAAGCCATTAAAGAATCATCTGCAAATATGTATATTTGTAAAATTACATTCAACAAAGAGGTTTAAATCATTTATATATAAGATAGATAAAATTGGTCCTAGGACGCTACGTTGGGGTACACCAATGTTAGTATCATTTTCAGTAGATATATTATTATGAACTTTTACTCTTAGTTAGTAAACCAGTTTAAAACAACCATTAATGTCATATCCAGTAAATTTCTTTAAGGTTGGCGTTCGTCCATAGAAATCTGCCGTATATGCGCGGTTGACTTTAAACGAAGCTTTTGGGAAAAATATACTTCCTGGCATGAATTTTAATATTAAAAACCGTTCACAAAGTGTGTCTAGGGGTTGTACAGACTTCTTAATAAATAGAGTTGTTCTAAAGTACTAGAAAAATTACTTTGACTTTTGGTATCTAATCCACATATAAATCGCATGGGCTTACCTATTAATTTTCTTTAAAACTAAACATATTTATGTGTTGTCTTTCCATTACAAACCGTACAACAAACAGAAAAACAATGAAACATTGTTTAATTTTTTTGAAAGCTTGGTTTAAAATTGTATAGATCTTTTTTAATGAAAACACAATTAAGTGATATATAACTTGACATAGTAGAAAGTTATAAAGTTAAAATCATTTTTAAGTATTTCCTTTTAACAATTTTGTAAGACAAATTGCGAAATTGTCAAAATTAACAGTTTTCCAGATATGGCCAGACGCCGCCCTTAAGAAAGTAGTACGATCTATTGTTTTAAAAGCTCCTTTAAATCTAGAAAAACAGTGGGAGGTAAATCATTTCTTTTTAGAGCGAATATTACATACACTCTACTATGTGTGTAGTAAAAATGCTTATCATTGATGATGTGTATTGTATTTTATATTGAATCCAGTATAAATGTTTTTTTTTTAAATGGCTTCTATTAATTTCAGTGGATTTGTCCACAGCGTTAACAAGCGAAAGTCTAGCTGGAGTACTGAACGATCCAGATACTCTTCAACAATTACAGAACCATCTACCTGCCGTTGATCAAAATACTCAAGAGGCCTTAAGGTCCACATTGGCGTCACCTCAATTTCAACAAGTAAGTGAAACCAAAGAATTTGAATTTTGACATGTGATAGTTTGGTGAGTGAGAATCTGAATTTGTTTGAGTGAAAATGTGAGTAATAGGGTTTTAATTAATAAGTATTATATTTTTTTAAATGTAAAATTAAACTAACTTAAGGATTCAAAACAAAAAACAAATTAATATTATTATTCTTGCATTGACCTTAAATATTATCCTTATTTTGTTCAATGGCTTTTTTGTAAATGAAACGTTTATTTATAGGCCGTGTCTCAGTTTTCCAGCGCTCTGGAATCCGGTCAATTGGGTCCTATTGTCTCCCAATTATCCGTAAATCCAGACGCCGTAGCCGCCGCAGCGCAAGGGAATATGGCGGACTTTGTGAAAGCTTTAGAGAAATCGTCGAGTGAGGCGTCCGCAGATAAAGATAAGGATAAAGAAGCTGGACAAAAAAAGGAAGACAAGAAGAAGGATGATGATGAAGATCAGATGCAACTTGATTAGATTAAAATGTGCTTTCAAATAATAATATTATAGTAGTGTGGCTTAATTTTACTGCAAGAAAAATGTTTAAATATAATCAAATTTCTTAAAAGCTTTTTTTCTACATTGGATAGAATATACATAATTTATTTCCTTTTTACAAATTACAGTTATACATACAATACAAATCATAACAATAAAAACACACTAAAATTGACTTTGCACATGGCTTTCGACATCTGAAGGGGTGGATTTGAAGTCAATCACAATTCTGACTCTCGCCAATGCAAACAAATTCTAATCTTATCCCAATTCTCTTGATTCTCTTAAAGCCACCCTTGTGACATCGTTTAGAATGGGCAATCTAATAATTTTACTAGAATTGGGGATTATTCATTTTCATATTTCCAAAATTGTAATTTTATTGTTTGATTCCAATCCATCGTAACCAAGTCTTTTATTAAGTTTCATTTCAATTGTACAGGGTGTTTCTAAAGTAATCTGAAATGTTGTGGGCGATTCGTCATTCAATTTTAAGACCAAGAGCTCTTATAAATATGTGTGATAGGTTTTGTCGTTTATGAAATGCAGGGTGTTGACTTTTTGTAATATACGAGCTCTAACTGTAAGTGAAAGTTACCATAAATTTTCCTTAGTGATACTAACTGGTTCCCTAAACTACTTACAAGGCTGTAATGTCATTCACAACAATCCTGGTATCTTTGAACTTATTCAGCAATCCATTAGACTTCAAGCAAAGCTTCTATTGTAGCTGGAGCTTCACATTTTGAACATCTGCTATGAAATGTAATACTACTTTTATGTTTATCACAATTTATTGCTCCTATTAAAATAATAAAAAAGTAACATCTATCTCATATGGACAAAACCAATCAAACATGTTCATAGGAGCATTTCGACTTAAAATTGAATGATGAATCGCCCACAACAATATTTCCAGATTATTTTGGAAATACCATGTATATTCTAAAATAAATGCATCTTTTTATATATATTTTTTTTTAGTATTCTTTCCGTCATAAGTTTTAGCTATATTTAAATAGAATTCCAATTTTAAAATTATTATTAGAGTATTGTAATCGAAAAAAAGTCACTCTCCGAGATTATTTCAGATCTTCCTGTTTCAGGGTCTCTAGATTAGGAAAAACATGTTTCCCCATTTCGTCAGTTTGTTTGTTGGTGCAATAGTTCTAAGAACGACTTCAAATTCTGTATGCAGGTAAGGCTTTTTTTCTGATTCGAAACCAGTAATACTTCCAGTCAGTTATATAAAGGGTGAGCAATTTAAAAGAAATTATTTATTTTTGATAGTCTGCAGATTTCGACTAAAATTAGTAACTGAGTATTTTAAAAGTCAAATATATAACGGATCCTAAATAAATTTTTACAAATTCAAAACGGTGTAGAAAAGAATCGTACTTATTCGAAGAAGGTCCCCCTTGAATCAAAATAGCAAAAAGTGTCCTCTTGGTTTGTGTAACTGGACCATTTTAAAAGCAGTCATCGTTCAATAACGGTAAACGTGACGAATTAAACCGAGGGACGTGAAGTTAGAGTTTGGGTGGGATCAAGAGGAAGATCGATGGAGAGAGGAAGTTAAAAAAAGAAAAAGCATATAGGAATGCTAAAAAAATAAAGTAAGAGACAAAAACAAAGAAGAATAAGCATATAAACTTGCAGAAAAAGAAAGTAAAATGTAGGAATGCTAAAAAAGAAAGTAAAACACAAAAAAGAAAGGAAGATACATATAAAGATATGGAAAATGAAAAAGATAAAGAAGTTAAATAAAAAAAAGAATATAAACTTGAAGAAAAGAAAGTAAGAAACAAAAGAAGAAGAAAAGGCATATAGGGATTCTGAAAATGAAAGGAAGAGACGAAAAAGAAGAAAAAGCATATAAAGAGATGCTGAAAAAAACAAAGAAGTTAAAAGACAAAAAAGAGAAGGCAAGGCATATAAATTTGCAAAAAAGAAAATAAGATACAAAAAGAGAAGAAAAAGCATGTAGGGATGCTGAAAAGAAAGTAAGAAACAAAAAAGTTGAACAAGCATATAGAGATGTAGAAAAAGATCAAACAGTTAAGAAGACAAAAAAGAGAAGAGTAAACATACAGACTTGCAGAAAAGAAAGTAAGAGACAAAAAAGAGAAGAAAAAGCATATAAGGATGCTGAAACAGAAAGTAAAAGACAAATAAAGAAAGCAAGATATATATGAAGATGCGGAAAATGAAAAAGAAAGAAGTTAAAAGAAAAAGAAAAGAATCATACAAACTTGCAGAAAAGAAAGTAAGAAATAAAAAAGAAGAAAAAGCATGTAGGAATGCTGAAAAAGAAAAAGAGAAACATGTTAAAAGATAAAAAAGAGAAGACGAAGCAAATAAACTTGTAGAAAACAAAAAAGAAGAAAAAGCATATGGGGATGTGAATTATCAAGACCATTCCCTAACATCAAAGTTGAATACTTGGAGATTTGAAAAAAAGCCTGCCGCAGTCATGAATCCAACCCGAAAATCCTTGTATGCTAGACAAGTGCCCTTCTTTCTAGATCATCACATTGTATACGTTGGACCCGCACTAGCACATCAAATTTTTGTTTATGAATCTCGACAATAAATGTCATGATGGTTGATACACATATAAAGGGGTTAGATTTTAAAGCAAAATAAAATTTTATTTTACACTTTTGACCTATAACATATGCGATGTTAAATTTCTCAGGAGTTGGGTACTTAAACTACTTAAAGGGATATTATTAAAATAAAACTAATCGATTCTCTTACGTGATTTAATAAAATGATGCTGTATAAAGGTATTTGAATATTTGAGATCGAGCCGTCGGGCCTGAACTAGCACATTAAATTTCTGTCTAGGAATCTCGACAGTCAATGTCGTAATGATCTAGTAGGAAGGTCACTTATCTAGCATACAAGCATGCCTCGTTCGATTCCCGGCTGCGACAAGATTTTTTAAATCTCCCAAGTAATTATTTACAACTTTGTGGTTTGGTCATGGGCTTGATAGTTCGTAGGGGGATATTTGAAATTAGTTTCTGAATTTTCAAATTATTGTCTATTAAAATAGTCTTTATTTAAAAAAATAATTAAACATTGATTTGAAAGTTCGTAAAATTGAATCTAAAATGAATAAAATTTAAAAAATTAACTAATTTACTTAACCTATGCAAACTGGAGGCATCGCAAATTCCTTCAAAAAAATAATACAATAAATAAGAAAAAATTTAAAAAACCTAACTAATATACCTAACCTGTGCGGCCTGAAGTCATCGCGAATTCCTTAAAAAATATATATACAATAAATAAGAAAAATTGGAAAAACTAAGTTACTTAACCTGTGCAGCTTGGAGCCATCGTAGGTTAGGCAACCCCTCTTTCTGGGACGTAGATAAACCCGGTCCTTCGTCTGCTGAAACCACGCATGTCCCCGATGAAACTTACAGTGATGGTAGGCTGCTGATATATTGATCCCACCTGATGTTCATCATCTTTTTCTTGAAACTTCAACTCAAGTGATGCTCCTGGAGAAGAGTATTATTATAATTCTTGCCACGCCAATTTTGAGGGTATACGCCAATGTTTGGAAGCAATGGATTGGGATGGGCTTTTTCAAGGAAAAGAACTTTCAGAAATGATTCTTACTCATTATGACACTTTGTACTCGGTAATTGAGTTAGTTGTTCCCTTAAAGAAATTTGTTATAAACAGCAGTGGCGGTTTGCCCGTAAAGGCACTTGGGCACGTGCCCTAGTATAATAAACAAAAAAAAATCACTTTCATATTTTATATTTTCCTCAATGCCTATTATTATTTTATCTAATACTCAGCGCAAACCGCGTTGGCACGACACTGGACGACCGGGCGTTGAGCGACATTCCGAGAATTCCGAAATTAAGTGGAAGATGGGCACAGTAAATGTGTGCCTCTGTTGTTTTCTCTTTCATTATGATGCGAAAAACAAGGACAACGACAATATCGCTTAGCAAGAGATGAACACATGCGATGGATTATACGTCACAAGCAGGGCGCTGTCCTCAGCGTGACGTGCTTTACCCATGGCACAGATTACCTAGACCCACCCTAGACCAGATACGAATGTACGCAGCGGTTTAAGGTGCGAGTTTGTTGGACCATGATAATAATTCATTTATTGTGATTACGAAAAAACGTTAGTTGGACCATTGAAATAGTTAAGAAATAAAACTACAAAGAAAAATATTTTTTTTTATAAAGCAGTCAAAAATATGATGAAAAAAATCAACAATATTTATAAATGGGACAAAATTTTAATTTTTCTTTTGGTTTTGTCTGACTTTTTCGAGGATTTCAAATCTCTCTTTGCTTATATAAGAGTATAAAAAATTCTAAGTCTTATAAATAATTTAATGGTGTACATTTTCGCAAATTGTTGGCAAGGATGACCAAATTCTATTTTGCTCATCTCAAAAAGGTATGCGTTGGAAATTCCAACTAAACAGGACTGTCCAAAATTATGAAATATTCAGTCAGTTAAGATCACAATGCAGGATTATATCTAGAGAATGCTATTCAAATTACATATATTCTGTTGAAAGTTTTGTTAAAGCCGTTTGGAATTTTGTAAGTGCCAAAAGATCTAATAACACCATACCTGATATTATGAACCTTGAAGACTCTTTTGCTTCTTGTGGCAGTGAAGTATCAAAACTTAATATTTCCTCTTACCACAATTTCTATTTCGATCATTTATGAGAAATTATTTTATCTTGACATAAAGAAAGGTCCAGGTCCTGACATTATTCCTCCCATCCTACTCAGAAATTGCAGCTTCGTATTGTCTCGCCCTCTCTTCCATATTTTCAATAAATATATCGCCACAGGTGAGTTTTCAGGTTATTGGAAACTATCTTATGTTACCCCAATATACAAATCGGGTAGCAAGTCAGACGTCAAAAATTACCGACCTATTCTCAGTACTATACCTAAGGTTTTTGAGAACATTATAACAGACTACCTACCTAGCATCATAACGGTTCATCAACATGGTTATGTGCTGGGAAATCGACTGGATTAAATCTAGTTACCTACATCGACTTCCTGTCGGAAGCTTTGGTGAAGGGTTGCCAGATTGACTCTGTGTACACTGACTTTTCTAAGGTCAACCATTCTCTCTTACTTCAAAAGCTCGATAAATATGGCATAAATGGGGTTGTACTGCAATGGATTACGAACAGAACTCAAATGGTTAAGTAAACCATCACTATTCTAACTTATTTCAAGTTACCTCAGGGGTTCCTCAAGGATCACACCTTGGTCCCTTATTATTCAACTTATTTTTAAATGACATCATTCATTGTTTTCAGTATGGCAAAGCACTATTGTTTGCAGATGATTTAAAAGTTTTCCTAATTATTAAATCCATTTATGATGCCCTCTGGCTTCAGTCTGACCTTGATAATCTATCAAACTGGTGTTCCTTAAATGGTATGGACTTGAATGCCATAAAGTGCCATGTCATGCGCTTTTATCGATCCTATGTACCAACTTTTGATTATAACTTAAGTGGTTATATCTTGGAGTCTGTTAATCAAATTAAAGACCTTGAAGTTATTCTAGATCCCACTTTAAGCTTCAATCAACACATTCCTAAGGCTATCTATAAATCCATGAAAATGTTAGGTTTTATCAAAAGGCTAAGAGACATGATTTTACTGACACAACTGCAATCAAAGTCCTTTATTGTTCACTATAGTCCGACCTCACCTAGATTATTACTCTTATGTCTGGTCTCCACATTACATAACGCACAACAGAAACATAGAAAATGTGCAACATAAATTTCTTAGATACATAGCCTATAAATTGGGTGTCCTTTCCGAGTAAGGTTTGATAGAGAATTTTCTAAATATCCCCTCTTTCGAAACTAGGAGGAAACAGAGAGACTCGACATTACTTTTCAAAATTATCAGATGCAGCTGTACTGAACTTCTAACAAAAATACATCTTTATATTCCAACGCGCTCAACTCGACAGCAACAAACATTTTATGTACCTTTTTATCGTTTAAACCATACTGTTAGCAGCTATATTCCAAGAATGTTAAGATTATCCAACACTCATAACGATCTTGAGATATTTAACACCCTCTTTCATAAATTTATAAAGCAATTACTTAGTACTGAGCTTTAATTTTTAATGTTTAATGTAAATATTTTATTCAACCTTATTGTCTTTTTAAATCTTTTAAATTCTTTACCTATTTTAGTCTATATTGTAATGAATTATACCACGTTTGTGTTTTAGCACCATATATATTTCACTACATTTTAATTATAATTTTAAAATTGTAATTTATTTCTCAAATGGGCTTGCCCGTAAATAAATAAATAAATAAGCATGTCGTCGTCGCCAAAAAACAGGATGTATTGTGTTTTACGATAAACCCCTTCTATTTTGTGTTTTGTTTTTAAATTAAATATTGCCTTATTTATGATGGCAATAAAGTTACGCCTTTATATAAAAAAAATCTCTTTTTTATGCGCTAATGTAGGGGAAAACCACCCCCAAAAACCTAGACAGTTACACGGTTAGCAAAATCTACCCCTATATTCTACTAACTTTTTATATTTAATATGCATAATAACTAGGGTTGCCATCTTTTTGAAAAGTGAAAAAAGGATTATGATGTTGACAGGGGCTCTAGTATACAAAAGGTCCTCATCCTTCTACTAAACTAAACAACTAAAAAAAAAAAAGAAAAGGTCGTTGAGTTAAACAAACAAAAATTCTTCTCGCCATTCTGCTGCCCAGCTTCTAAAAAAAGGTTGTCAAGTTTAACAAACAAAAATTCCTTTTCGCCACTCTGCTGCCCAGCTTCTAAAAAAAATGTCATCAGCTTATATTTTTATACAAACCATGTCCCTTTTCAAAATTTGTGCTGAAAAAAAAAACATTTGCAGTAAAAAGGACATTTTAAGCTTTAAAAATTCACAAGGACTTTTTACCTTCAACAAAGGAGTGTCCTGTTCAAAAAAGGACCCTAATAATAACAACAATTCAATTGATTTTTTATCTTCTTCCCTACCAAAAAAGTGTTCCTTAAAATGGCCCTGATTGCTTCAATTTACTATTAAATATCCAAATGTATAAAACTTATTTTAAAAAAATCCTATTTACAAATGCAGATACCATTACAAATTGATTTTCTCATAGATTCCATCACTAGATATTGACCAAATTTATACAGGACCACCCCTGAAGTACTCCCTTTCTAACGAAAAAAGAAATAAATTTAACAACGTGGTAAATAATTATCGCTGAACATACTTATAAAATTAAGAGTTTGATGATTTTTTCATAGACCCCATTATAAGATATCTTCCAAATTTATATGAGACCACCCCTGAAGTATCCCCTTTCTTACAACAAAAGAATCATGGAAATCAAACAACCTGGTAAAGAATTATCGATAAACATACATACAAAATATTTCAACGAATTGAAAACCTACTTTTTTAAAGTTAGTTAAAAAATAGCATGAAAGCAATAAAATAAAATTAAAACAAAAATATATTTGGATATTTCTAAAAATTGGACATCACCCCGTATACACTTTGACCTTGATTTGAATTCATTACGATCTACTGCAATTATTTCAGTTATATTTTTTGCCACAAATAATTTTTAAATCAAGTGTTCTATGAGTTTCGAATAAAGCGACGACAACCAATCAGAAAATTACTTGATTAAAAGATGGTGGTTTTGTGATTATGAGTGAAGTGCGGGACGCTACATTTTCAAAAAGAAAATAGTGATTTATCTTCAAATGTGCTAAAAATATGAAAAAATATGGTAAGTTTATTAAGCATTAATCATAGATATATGGGTAGGTGTTAATTTTAGATAGATTTATTTTTTGCTAAAATAAAGTATACCATTGTGATTTGTAGTAAATAGCATCATGGTAAAATAGTGTTTGGTTTACTTATATCAATATTCGATTACTCGTAATGATTTAAACCGTATTTAATCACGATATTTAGATTAAATTCATTTAAATGTCAGAATACAACCGGCGATTTTCGCCACTTTACTGCTTGTAATCTTATAGCTAATTCTTGTCTCAGCTTGTCAAGACTAACCAAATCATTCGCTGCGCAGAGATAGGTATTTATACTTATATATCAATAGTTTTTTTAATGGCACGTCATGAAAGTGTTCTGAAATATATTAAAAATAAATACTTCCAATAAATTTTGACGTGGTTTTTTGTCCCGTTAAGTTATCGCTTTTAAACGACTGTTGTCTTGAAAATATTCAATGTTTTCAGTAAAATCGTATTCAAAAATTTTTACTGTCCAAAATAACTAAATAATACTTCTCTTTTCCATACAAGTTATCCTTAATGTTATCAATCCTTCAAAAAGTAATATTCTCTGAATTATTTTGGCAATAAAAAGAAGTAAATATTTACAAATCAATAGAGATGCAGAAATGTCCAAGTTTTTTGACAGTCATACAAAATAGTTTTTTTTAATGGATAAATGGCAGCAGACATGCAAGTCTATTTACCACAGAAAGTTTAAAATTAATAATTTTCATATACAGGTCTTTACAAAAACATACCACATATTCCTTAGACCAAAATAAGTAGATTTAAGTAAAATTACCTTAGTACAAAGTTGCTTCGTTTGGGCTCCAGAGGGCCTTGAAGTTACCATTTTTAAATCGTTTTTCCCATATAAATTTAAAACGGCATATGCGATTTTGCTGAAATTTGGTATATTGGTAGAGTTTTATGTGGCAAAAAATGATATTAAAATTTTGTCCGATAATAATACATAGGCGTAGAACTTGATTTTTTAAATAATTGCACCTTTAAAAATTCTACGCCAATGGAAGAAAAGCAGTTTGAGTATGAAATTTAGATTGCGCAACTCATTTACTTTAAAAAAGGTACTCTTGATAAGACTCGATTACTCTCATGGTTTTCGCTAAATTTCTGTTTTAATAATTTAGAGTGTATAGGTTTCACAAAAATATTTATTTACAACATAATCAAAATAGAGATTTTACAAAAATTGTTCAAAATGTTCACCATTTTCACGCATACAGTATGGTTCAAATGAAAGGAATAAATTCATTATAATGGAAGTAGTTGGTTTTTCGAAAAAATGATCGAACAGGTCAATTTTGTTTACTCAATACGCAACTTTTTAAATAGAATTCAATTTTCCCCCACTTCCCATTTTTGGGCAGTGACGTCATTGACAGTTTTTTTAAATAGTAACCCCAATTTTTTTTTCTTGATTTTGTAAGATCTTGCAATTTCCTACTCGGAAACATAATATTTGAAATATCTTACATAACAATTTTTTTTGAATAAAAGTCATTTAAAGATCAGACACATAAATTTTATTTTATTTCGAGAACACAATAAATGAATAAAAGATAATTATTTGTAATTAAGTGCTTAATCTAACAAAATAATAATAATAAAAAAGAATTTGTGAAATTGTCATTAAATTCTTTTTATTATTATTATTTTTTAGATGAAGCACTTAATTACAAATAATCTTTTATTCATTTATTGTGTTTCAAAATAAAATTAAATTTATGTATCTGATCTTTAAATGACTTTTATTCAAAAAAAATTGTTATGTCAGATATTACAAATATTATATTTCCGAGTAGGAAATTGCAAGATCTATCAAAATCAAGAAAAAAAAATTGGGGTTACTATTTAAAAAAATTGTTAATGACGTCACTGCCCAAAAATGAGAAGTGGGGGAAAATTGAATTCTATTTAAAAAATTGCGCTTTAATTTAACAAAATTGACCTATCCGAGCATTTTTTCGAAAAACCAACTACTTCCATTATAATGAATTTATTCCTTTCATTTGAACCATACTGTATAAAGATTTATATGTCGAAGAAAATTAAAATGTATCATTTCCATAACTTCTTCATCACCTCTAAGATTGTTTATTGCATCTTGAATACGTTGCCAGAATTGTTCCTCATTTTCTACAGGTTCCCTGTAAACTGTGGATTTCAGATGTCCCCATAAAAAGTAATCCATCGGTGTTAGGTCTGGGGAACGTGGTGGCCA